AGATGAAGCTTTCTAAGTCATTAGATGGAGCAACTTGATATAGATCAACTAACATACCAAGTTAAAAGACATCATCTCCTATAATTAATTTATTATTTTCATCCTGAACAACCTCGATATGACCTCTGGGTTTGGTTCTCACTACGAATAATCAATCAATTTTTGAACGATCCTTTCTAAAGAAAAAATGTATATATAATAAAGTTATTGGCGTTGTTTAGCAAAAACAAAGACATTGCCGACATTATGGAGTCTAGCCTTTGAATTAATTTTGACTAAATCATAATGGGGATCTACTATGATTCTTTTGTTAGTGGTGTCATACTAATAGCATTTGATTAAAAATACTTTATTTTGCTCGTTATGATATTACAATTCAATGACCCCTTCCAACTTCCCATAATAATCAACTTCACACTCATTAGAAGTCAATCCCTTAACACAAACTCCATCATTATATTTCTTTTTACCCTGCTCATATTCTTCAATATGAAATATATGTCTATTGATAAAATACTCGTTGTAGCACTTCACCTTTCTTGTAAGACTCAAACTTAGTAAAGACAAAGTAACATTAGCATTCCTTCCCAATTGAAAAACCTGGTATATGAAGTAGCACCATGAATAATTAACGAGAAATGTATAATAAAATTAAGTATCTTGAGAGATAAAAATAATTATATAGTATTTACATGTGTTTTGAACCACATGAAAAATTGTTCATCCTGTAATCAAAAGATTTGAAATTCAATTAGCTGTGAGTTTTAGGACAGTAAATATTAACGATATTACCTGCGAAGAATCCAACAATGTATCAGTGTATGATATTATAAGAGATAATTTTTTTGAAAATAATGACATATTAAGTAGTATACTTACTAAATAAAAGGTCTTAGTTTATCGTGGTTAAATTGCACATAATTATATGCTAGTCTGAATTTTATTTTTGAAAAATATCTTCCCCACTCAATATTTTTTGATAGAGTCATCCAGGATAGGAGAATATTGACAAGTTCTCACACGAAGGCACTTCCCCACCATCATTATATCTTGGAATGTCATTGATTCTTATTTTCAATTGAGGCTCAAAATAGCACGAGATAAATATTGAGATATGTTCAATAATATAGGCCTCGCATATTGAAGCCTTAACATGCACTTGTTTTTTACTTTTCTCTTAAGGTTGAACAAAGACCTGCATGAAATTAAATGAATGTTTTGAAATATACAAAGAAAGACAATAAAATTTTAATTATAATGCATGTATAATCCTTAACCTCTCGAATAAATACATCTATTTATCTATTTATATTGGACTGGGCCTCCAACTTTTTCCTTAAACGGTAAATATATAGGTATATGCTCCATTAATCCATTCTTTTTTATCTTTTCATCTTTTTTTCTCTCCTCAATTTGGTTTTCATGTCTAATTTCTTCTTGTCTTCCTTATAGTGACAAAATGGTTTGCATTTTTTTCCTTATTTTCAATTGTTGTCTCTTTATTTTCAATCTTTTTGACAAATGAAAAATTCAAATGATTTTTCAAATAATCATGTGTCAACCCAATGATGGAATGTTTTTTTGATTCTACAAAAACCCACATTAAAATCATCGAAACAAACTATTAAGACCAATATTGAATAAAATAAACATAAATAACAAAAAAAAACTACATGACTAGAAGAAAAAAAATTGCATTGTGTGAATCTATAGTGTAATTGGGTGGAAGAGTATAGTGGAGTGAACAACATTTTATTTAGCTATTTTAGTGTTTTGTTAATAAGAACCTCCCTACTCTCTGTAGACATGCATTGGCATGTAAACCTATTTTGATCGTGATCTTTTACAGGAAAACATATGTTTTGCCATCCAAAAATCTCTCTTGATTATTAAACTAATTATTAGGGATAATGATATCTTTTTACAAGGTCTATTAATCTTTATTAAATTGATAAAAGACAACTTAGTATTTTCATATTTTTTTTAGCATAATGAAATGACTCAATTACCCTAAAAATAAAAAAAAATTAGAACTACCATTTAGGATTTTTTTATATTTTCATACTTTTTTTTTGTTTTGTTATTATCATGGTGGCTTAGGAGCAATTTAATATTTGAATAAATACTATATCATTTATTTATGCAATGTTATGGGTCAAATCAATTTTTTTAAAAAAAATAAAAATATTTGAGTATTTGCTAATATGTTTTCAAGAAGAAAAATATTGAAACTGTGTAGAGATTGATACAATATCACCCGATTAACTTGTCAAATCCAAAAGCAACTTAGACAATGAGAAAAAAAAAACATAGTTTGATTAAAAAAAATTAAATGACATCTTTAAGAAGAATATATATTGAGATAACAACATATTGTATTTGTCTAGGTCATCAGACCATAATAACCTTATAAAAAAAATAAAAAAATATATCAAAGCCCAATTATTAATCAAATCAATATTGAAGAATAAAATTAAAAAATATCAAGTAAAAAAAGAAAAACAAAAACTTGAGAGAGCTCGGGTTAACCTATCAAACCCGGATCATGAGACTAATATAACCTAGTAGAAAGCAAATCAAAATAAATTATGAAGCTCGATTCCTAATCAATTCAACATTCAATGATGAAATTGAAAAAAAAAATTAAAAAAAAGACTTGAGTCAACCCTATTTAACCCACTAAACCCTTGACTTAGGTCATGAGATTAGAATAACCTTATAGAAAACAAACTAAAATGAATTATGAAATTTAATTTTCAATCAACCCATATGGCTTAAGATGAAATTGAAAAAAATAATAATTCAATGACAAAAAAGATTAAAAAAAACCTAAGTCAACCAAATTAACTCGCAAAACTTATAACTTACATCATAAAATTGAGATAACCTCATAGAAAACAAATCAAAACAAACCATAAAGCTCAATTTCCAATAAATCTAAAGTTAAAAAATAAAATTAAAAAACAAAATATTGTTCCAATGAACAATTCTTTGTGAGAAGCAGAATAATGATCTTTTCTCCTCAATTATTTCTTATTAATAAAATATAATTAAAAAATAAAATAATTGATACATGCAATACGCTAGCATGTGGGAGGTGCCCACCCTTTTAGACGACATGTGCAACGTTTTTAGGCGATCAAAAACTCTCTTCTTTTATGTTGTTGGAAATATCATATCATCCTTTTCGTTTTAGGGCAACCTATGTCAGTATTGGTGTGGCGATGTGATGCCAATGATAATTTATTTTTATTTTTTTCTCCTTTCTCTCTCCTTCCATAGGTATTTGTGCTAGCTATGGAAAACTTTAGAGTTGCCCCCTTAAGTTATAGAGATTTTAACTTAGGTCATTATTCTTTTAGTTTTTGTTCACGTCCCTTTTATAAAATTATAATTTATTTTTAATTTCATCATTTAATCTCAATTTATGATATATTACTTTTTAACTCATTCATTTTATTTTTGTGTGGATCCTTTTGTTAAATTATTTTTTTCTTTTTAATTTCATCCTTGTAATGGTTCTCTAATTTATTTTTTGTTTCAATTTTGACCCTCATTCTTTTAATTATTCTTTTGTTAAATTAATTTTTCTTTTCAATTTTATTATTTGATAAAAAAAATAGTTTTCCTCAAATTTATTTTTTATTTCCATGTTGATCTTTATTTTTTTAATTGTTATTTTTATTTTGAATTATTTTGTATAATTGTTTTTTAATCTCATCTTTTAATATTTGATTGTTTCAGTTTCATCTTTTTATTTAAGATATTTTAATAGTCCTCTAATTTATTTTATTTTTTTCATATAAAATTTTATGGGTTTTTCATGTGAGATCCTTTAACAAACCATAAAGCTCAATTTCCAATAAATCTAAAGTTAAAAAATAAAATTAAAAAACAAAATATTGTTCCAATGAACAATTCTTTGTGAGAAGCAGAATAATGATCTTTTCTCCTCAATTATTTCTTATTAATAAAATATAATTAAAAAATAAAGTAGCCGATACATGCAATACGCGTACTAACATGTGGGAGGTGCCCACCCCTTTAGACGACATGTGCAACATTTTTAGGCGATCAAAAACTCTCTTCTTCTATGTTGTTGGAAGTGTCAAATCATCCTTTTCATTTTAGGGCAACCTATGTTAGTATTGATGTGGCGATGTGATGCCAATAATAATTTATTTTTATTTTTTTCTCTTTTCTCTCTCCTTCCATAGGTATTTGTGCTAGCTATGGAAAACTTTAGAGTTACCCCCTTAAGTTATAGAGATTTTAACTTAGGTCATTATTCTTTTAGTTTTTGTTCATGTCCCTTTTATAATATTATGATTTATTTTTAATTTCATCATTTAATCTCAATTTATGATATATTATTTTTTAACTCATTCATTTCATTTTTGTGTGGATCCTTTTGTTAAATTATTTTTTTCTTTTTAATTTCATCCTTGTAATGGTTCTCTAATTTATTTTTTGTTTCAATTTTGATCCTCATTCTTTTAATTGTTCTTTTGTTAAATTAATTTTTCTTTTCAATTTTATTATTTGATAAAAAAAATAGTTTTCCTCAAATTTATTTTTTATTTCCATGTTGATCTTTATTTTTTTAATTGTTATTTTTATTTTAAATTATTTTGTATAGTTTTTTTTTTAATCTCATAAAAGATTTGATTGTTTCAGTTTCATTTTTTTATTTAAGTTATTTTAATAGTCCTCTAATTTATTTTATTTTTTCCATATAAAATTTTATGGTTTTTTCATGTGAGATCCTTTTAATCTAATAACCTAAATTACAGGTTTGAAAAAATAATATAAATTGAAATTATTTTTTTCACTTATTTTGTTATTTAATTTTATCATTAATCCTCTGTATCAGAAATTTAATATATTAACACAAGTTAAATTAATTATCTTTATAAGGTTGCTTTTACGAAAAAGAATCTTGATATTTTTCAAACATCATTTTTTAAGAAAAAAATAATAATAATTCAACTCCGCAAGCGTACCCGGGTACACGTCTAGTTTGGCAATTAAACATGCTAATGACGGTTTTGTACAAATATGATGCAACCTTCCAACAATTATGGTTAATTGGCAAACCTCTCACTTCCAGGTTCTCCTGATACATATACCAATCACCCGTAATGTATTCACCCCTTCTATTTGATTTTATTCCTTCAAAGAGAACCTCAATTTTGATGGTAATTGTTATGAATGAAGCAGTCGAAGTCAGAATCACTCTGAAAATATGATAGAAGGAGAAAAGAATAAAAAGGAGGAATGCTTCTCACTAGCAGGGAGCCCTTCAATGAATTAGAAATTGTGCAATTTGATGCACTGCATAATTAGACTACTATGATTTTGCTGCTTTTCCTTCTTCTGCAGCTGAATGTTTGACCTGGAAAATACCACCAAGTCCTCGTCCCTTGGCAAGCTGCTCAATTTCTTGTAGTTTGTGCTTTAAAAGTTCCACTTCTCTTGCCATGTCTTCATCTCTTTGCTTCATTGCCTAAATCAAAGTGAATAACAGTGTCCATGAATTGGAAATACTGGAAATAAATGCCAATTATCAATTTGATAATATGCTATGAGACGAGGCTGCAATAAAGTATTAGTAATTTGATGATACATTTCTGCTGTCCAAGCCTTATCATTAAACATGACAATGTCATCAAGAAAACAGGGAAAAAAAAAAAAAACACTATAAAGCCATCAAGAGGCCCTCAATTTTCATCAAAGTAAACACGAGATGAGAGGTGCCAATGAAGAGTCTGCTTCAATTTATTGTTATCAACAACAGACATGCATCGAAATATGAAGGGTTTATCATTTAATGCCGCTACAAATTTCTTTAAACAGATCAAGAAGAGACATCAGTTTGAGAACTTGAAAGTGTGGTGATGTATATATTAAGATCTGGAATTTTCAATCATCATGTCTTATCTTTAGTAGGAAATAAAATTGCATTAGAAAATGACCAACACTGAAAGTAGGGAGGAACATAGGGATTGATTCTGCTAGAAAAGTAGTGACATGTTTCTATTATTGATTATTCAATCATTTCACAGCATTGCAATTTCCTTTTTTGATTGTACAAAAGATCAGTTCAGCTATTCTCTAGAAAGTGGTCCCTGGGTGCCCCCACTACTGTCATTTGGGCACCACTTATACTCATGGCTCACATCGTCATGAAAATGATAGCACCAACCATCAAAGTGCAAACAAACTAACCTAAAGAAACTCCTTTTCTAATTGGCAAGTCCATTGGATTGGAAATGCCAATATGCATAGGACCCTAATCTGTCAAGGATCTATATCTCCCCTCTTCTCTCTTCTCTTTTTTCTTACTATGCTTCTGTTGATTCGAGTGGGTATCTATCTTATTGACACATAAGTGTGAAACTAAAATTCTTCGAGAGTTATACCAAGCGGAAGTTGTCATCTTGTTGGGCCAGTGAAAACATCCCAGAATCAATATTCATTAAATTCTGCTCCTCGTGCCCAGGAAAAAAATTTATATAACCCTCGCTGAGTATGCTATGATAACTGATGATAAAGAAAATACTTCATTACCAAAAGGGAAGGACATTGAAGAACAGGGGCTCTGCACATGGCAGCAGTTGCTAAACTATTCCATGCACAAAACCTAGAACGATATAATGTCTAATGACATCCGAAGAATCTTATCAAACAGTTTTTGCATAAAGTAAATAATAACCATTCCAAGGAAGACCTCAGAAACAAAATTAGCAAAGAGATTTAATGTCAGCAAACAAAGAAGATTATTTTACCTCCAATTCTTGCTTTCGATTTTCCTCTTTTCTGGCTTCTGATTTAGCACTTCTGTGCACCTCAAAAATCACAGCAGCTCCTGCCACCTATTCATGTTGAAAAATGGAGCACCTAAGTAATCGTAAACCCAAATAATCTTCATAGTTGTCTCATAGTGAAATAAGCACGTACAATATATCAGATTCTTTTTTTTTTTTCCATGCATATTAGTACATATAGCATGTTGTCAAAGCAAAGAACTCCACCATCTCCTAAATCCAGACCAAATTTTGTCGTAATCAATTAGAGTACATTAAATTAGTGTTACTGGTTCCCATTTCTACAATCATATTGATGGAATAAGAAATTCAGCCAGATGTAAATTGTGTACATATGTAAATATGATCACCCTCCCATCTATTAAGTCTTGCAGAAGGAGTGAAAAGCTCAGAAATCCATCAAGATTCAATTTCTGCATAAGAGTTTCATTTACATTCACCAGGGATAAACAATTTTCTTTTATAACAGAATTCAACGCCACAATCTAAAACTAATCATATTTCTTATTACGTAACATTTTTCTTATGAAACCTCAAAAATACAGTAACATTTCCGCATAGGCAAGTCTCTACACTTGTACAGAAAATTGATTTCTTGACAATTTGAAACACAGCTTTAGTCAGTTAAGTTAGCTTTGTCAACTAAAAAGACACCAAATTAGCTACACTATTCTCTCTCTTTCTGTAAATGCAAGGACAAAAACCAGCATAAGCACACGAGCCCACAATTTACACAGCACAAAAGACATTGCAAATTGTACAGGATAAGTAGAGTTTCTGGATATCAAAAAATTCAGACATTAATAGAAGCAAAACTAAGGGACTCAAAACAAATTCTTCAAACATCAAGAAGAGCGACTTGGGATTAAAAAACAATACCGTGAAAACGAAGACTTCCCCAATAAGATCAACAGCAGCCTGGACAGCTTTTTCTTCATTCAAGGGCCTTATCTCAACATCAGTTGCATGACCATATATTCTTCTTTGCGTTCTTGTTGTAATCCGATGATTAGCCTGGTAATTCAATTCAAACAATCACAATCAAAGTTTCAATCTTTTTCGCCTCTAAAGTGAAAAACAATCTAAATCACCAAAACCCATTTGATAAAATGAAAGATCAAGTCAAATGTATGGGTATAAAGAGTACCTGAGCAATGTTGACGATGAACTGACGAAACTTGGGGTGAAAAGCAGCCTGTTGTTTGATCCTGCTGGCCAATGGTTTACTCAATGTTTTCAAGGCTAATGTCCCTAACTTCAATAATGGCAGCACCATAATAACTATTTTTCTTGCGTTCTTCCGAGATCTGATTCTGCAATCTTCTTTAACTTTTATTACAAGAACACGGATTGATCTCTGTCTTTGGTCTTCTTTTAGAACCGTAGGTTATATAATAGAGAATTTCTTGGCGAAGACGATAAAATGGCTGCCGATGTTGCTGTTGCGAAACAGCAAGTTCAGAGGGGAGGACAAAAGTCAATTCCGAATTATTATTTTGTTTCTTTAGGTCCATTTATGAGAATTTATTATTTTCTTTATTTAAAAAAATTCTTGTGCTTGGGCTTTGACAAAACTTATTTTTTTAATTTTTTTTATCAAAACTTTTTTTTTAATTTTTTTTTATCCAAAGTAAAATTCGAAGGGTGCTAATTTTAAGAAGTTGACTTGATATGGATATGCACTAGCCCGAGAAGCTGATTTTTTTTTTTCCCCGTAAAACATTATTCATACAGCTAAAAACATTTGGTGTTTTTACTGTTTATAAAAACATTAATCACCTTTTTATATTTTATTGTAAGTTAAAATAAAATAATTTTTTAAAATTTTCAATATCATCCTCCAGTTATTTTTTATATATATAATTGAGCTCTTTTAAAACTAAATTAAAACCTAAATGTATGCTTTTTTTAAGAGAAAGTTAATTAAAAGAAAAATGATTGAAGTGAAAAACATAAATAAATAACATAGGTGGTAAATTAAAAATTAAAATGATTGAAGTGAAAAACATAAATAATATAGGTGGTAAATTAAAAAATTTAGTCAAAAACTCATTTGGATCCTTTGTATTTTTTAACTATTAGGTAATTAGTCTTTTAAATTTTATAAAATTCAATTTTGATACTAAATTTTATTTTACTCATTGTTTAATCTTTTTTTTTTAAGAAGAAAGAAGAAGTTGTTAAATTTCAGTTTAAAAAAGAAGATATCTATTGGTGAGGAATCTAACTATCAAAACGGTCATTTTTTGTATTAAATAATTTCATACGACGAGGAAAGTTAAGAGTGTGTGTGTGTAATTTCATACGACGAGGAAAGTTAAGAGTATGTGTATGTTGTTTTTTTACCTTGAAAACATCTAAAAAATCAAATATGAGCTTAAGAATTATTTTTTTTTAATTTCGGAGTGGATTTTAAGTTTTATGGTGGTTTTTTTTATGTTTTTTGGTCATGGATTGACTTAATAAGATTTTCAAGGTGTTTTCTAAGTGTTTTTGATAAAAAAAAATAGGTTGAAAAGGAATTTTTTAAAAAAAAATCATATTTTTTCAACTATCATAATAACTGAATTTTAAAGATGAACAGACAATTCTTTATCTAATGACATAACATCCCATTAAACTTAAAAAAAGCAAGTCGTTGCTTGATTGAGTCAAGTGCTAGGTATAGCCTAATTCCTTCTTTTTTTTTTAATTTTGATTTTTTAATAAAATAATGCTTTAGTTGATTTTTTTTCCCAAATAGATTTTGGTTTATGTTTTAATTAGTTTGTGATGATTTTAATGATATTGGGTATGTTAGTTTTAAAGAGATATATATAATTCATCTGTGATTTTTTATTAATTTTATATAGATTAAATTTTTTAAATATTGATTTTTTAGAAGAGTTTTCATTTGTGCATCCTTGTATTTTTCTGTTTTTATTCAATAATTTTTTCTTGTGTGTCAGTTTTTATTATAAATTTTATATGTTTTTTATTACAAATTTATTTTAATGCAAAAATTCATTAAATACAATAAGGTAAATTACTCGTATTGTGATATTAAATATTTTGATCTTTATTTATCGCTTAATTTTTTTTTACAGAATAACAATATTATATTGTTTTTTTATTTTGCGATTATATATTTCTTTATCATGTATTTAAATAAAAAAATTTGAAAAAAAAATTATAATCTCATTAAAGTCCGTAATTTGGTTTACAAGTTTTATATGTTAGCCTTGGATACTCGATTCATAGGTTTGAAGAGTTCACTCATTAGCCAAATATACATTTTTGGTTTTTGGCTTGTTAATTGTTTTTAATAGTTTTTTTCTCAATTTTATACTTAAATATTATATTGGTCAAGAAATAAACTGAATGATTTTATTTTATTTTATTTTTTATTTTTAGAGTTATCACTGTCTTAAATAAGTTTTTTTAGGTTGTTGCTCAATTTTGTAACCATATATTTTTATTATATAATTAAAAGAATATATTTTATAAAAAAGCAAATTATTAAACTCAATATGTTCTCTAACATGATTTGCTTAAAGACTAAGATCTATCTAATTTGTCATTGTCTTAATAGTTTTTATGAAAAAAAATTAGTACTTTGAAGTTTTGTTAAAAGTTAAGTCATGTTTTTACAAGATATCAAGATTGCACCTTGATCCTTACAATCAATCAATTTAATTTGAGCAAACTCTTATGCTATTTAGTTTGAAATTTAAGTTATGCAAAGAGTTAGGTTTTGAGATTTCAAGATTAACTCATTAAGTCAGGTTTAATAACATAATAAAAAAATTATTCGCACTATTAACATTTTTTTTTACATTTTAAAAAATGTGTCCGTCTCACAATGAAGCATAAGCCAATGGACTAGTAATACACCTATGCTACATATATATTAAAAAAAAAGAGAGATAAATTCATGATTTCGGTTATAGATCTGACTAGGTTAAATTAGTCAAATAAGTTGGTTTTAATTAGATAATAAAAAAAGATAACTACAACAAATAGACTAAATTAAAAAAAAATGATCACAATAATCCAAGAAAAAATATATTTTTAAAAGGAAATAACGATATAGCACAATTCTCAATTTATTAAATACAAAAGGATGAAATTGGGTAAAAAAAATATGTTTGATCAACTTGAGTTAATATAACAAATTTATAACCTCAATAATCAGTGTCAAGCTAATCTGAGTTATTCTATTAAACTCTTGATCTAGATTATGAAATTAGAATAAAGTAATAAAAAAGAAAACTATGAAAATCACAAAACTTATTAAAAAAAAAAAACAATGGAAACAAATGTGAACTTTTCAAATCCAT